AGAATTAATAAAGGGAAACTATATGATAAGCAAATGCATAATTGGCAATTGCTTGGGTTTTCGCTGTCTTGGCCACAAACTGTCGAGTGTGTATGTAAGTTTGTCAGTGTGTGTGTGTGTGTGTGTTTGTGTATGTCAAAGCGTCTCTCATGTGGCATATCTTGTTGCTGTGGCCAATCGCCGTTCTGCCTCAATTAACTTGATTGCTTATAATCGTTTGTGTCTTGAGTTGCGCCTCATTAACGCGAAGGAGTGCAAGTAATTGAGACATTTTGGTGTAAAAGGACCACTACACAACGCCCCCCTCCTTCCACACCCCACACACACCCTCGCACACCCACGCACAGCCCGTTCCGCGGAAGTGCCTGTTGCTGCCATTATGACAGCTGTCATTTTGGGTGGCAATTGGAATTTTTCATGCCACATACCGCATGCTGCAAACACAAATGATGCATCAATGCATGCCACACATGTGAATGCAGTATGTAAATTTGAAGTCCCAAGACCACACACACGCACACAACCACAGAGCCAACCCTAACGAAACATAATTGACAGTTAATATTTTGCAGCTGCCGCAAGAGGAATGCAGCAGAGTTTCAGGAAGGGGTGAGAGGGGGGGGGGGGGGGCGGTTGTGAAGTTCTGTTGAGGGCATTCGAAACTCATCGATCAAATTGTCACGCGGCAAGTGCGGCCAGCGGGTGGAGTCGGGGAAAAGTTCGCGCAAACAAAAACAAAAAAAATAAGGGAGAAGAAGAAAAGTTTAATTCAATTTAACATTGAGACGAGCCAAGTGAGAAAAAGGTAGGAAAAAGGGTGAGCAAAAGGTGCGAAAAGGGCTGAGCGAAACGCACAACCAAAAAAAAAAAAAAAAGAAGCAGCAGAAGCAAAAAACGGGCGAATGGGCCCAAGTTCACCTGCGTTGCAAGAGCGACAGAAAGGGAGAAAAAAAAAACATATGCGCAGCATACGTAGCCAACGAATCGCTGTGCCGCTGCATAAAGTATTCGTAATATTCATGAATGCATTCGCTGGCATTCACTTTTTCAGCATGCGTATGTCATGTGCCTGGTGGCACGCATAATAATTGCGATATTGATTTTTTTTCATTCTTATATTCAAGTGCAATGCAAATTTTGTAATACCCTAAAATCCCTATTATTGCATAGTTATTACAAATTACAAATTACAGCAAAAACCTGTTGGGAATTATAGACGCTTTGTCCATTTGTTCACGTTATGAAGTATTGTTCTTATCTCACGAAATGCTTACATACTGCACAATTTTCGATCAGGATGATAAAGTTAATCGGAGTCCTCTTAGTTTTGAGTTCATGTTAATAGAAGTAGCTTTAAATGATTCTTTTGGGTATATTCCAAATAAATTTCTGATTCAGGTGGATCAAATTAGTATATCATAAACTTGTCTGGCAATGCCAATGATAATATAGATAGTTTCCATTGTCTGCAGTAGTTTGCCTTCGACTATTTTCTTAGATCATGTCGCTGTCATATAGTCCATATAGAATATATATATAAGTCATTAAAACTTAACTGAAGATAGCTGATCTTTAACTCAAGGAATGGCCTGTCACTTGAATTCCATCATAAAAATATATTTAAAGGGATGGATAGATATTCTCAGAAGAAGAGAAGAATCAGACAACTAAACCGCGAGGATTCCTGTGAGTATAGACCGCACTGGGTAGATCGATTACAACCATATCCTATGCTAAAAATAATATTTATTACTTATGCAACTCCTTTAACATTCGTGTTAAACTTTAAATGTTAATGTTAATATTAATCAATACGGGATTCAGCTATTTCATTGCTATTAAAAAGGCCGCCAACTGGTTTTGAACCATTTATTTATTTTTATTTATTATGAGAGGTACATACAAAAGATTTGTTGGATAAGCAAAATATGTTATGTGCTGAAATTTACAAAATATGGCAATAAAGGCTCAAACCAAAAACTGGGTTCATAAACATTCTTTTTGGATTTGCAGCCTTGATTATTATTATAAAACTTTCTGTGACTATTCTCATTCAAGAGTGTAATTTGTATTTGGCCACTGTTTTTTTATGAAGATATTACAACACTTATGCGGGTGGCGGAGTTCGAACCCCTGACCCACTTCATTCGTAGCTTGAATGCGTGAACATTTAAAAAGTTACAGCGGCAACATAACTGCCAAATGGCCCCCAACATTGTTGGCACAACTCCACAAAGTAGTCTAGAGAAGGGACTAAGGGGGGAGGGGGGGGGGGCATACAGCCTATGTGGGGGAAGGGGGGTATGTGACTGGCTGATAGGTGCGCGGTTCCGCGCCAAATAGAAATGCGCTGAGAACTGTGCTTAATTAAAAATTGTAAGTGGCAGTAAATTAATTATAAACGCAGCCCGCAAAGTGTTTGGCTTGCAGCAGCTCCACATGTGTGCGTCGACCACAAGGCGTGGCTAGCCCAGGTAAATTCCTCTGGTGGGGTAGCACACACTCACGCACACTTGCGCACACTTGCGCACACACAAACACGCACAGACGCGCCCACACACACTCTTTTAACTCTTTCTGCTTTTGCTGGCTGTCAGCATTTTAATTTCTTTGTGCATCAAAAGCAGCAATTTTAATCAAATTTCCATTCTTGATTATGTGTGCGCCTATTTGCCCATGCTCTAGGGGATGGGGCGTGGCAGGTTAACAAGTGGCTGCGGTGGGCAGCAAAGGCAAAGGCAAAGGCAAAGGCAAAGGTGAAAGTGAATGTGAAAGGCAAAGGGAGCGTGGGCAAGTGTGAGCAGGGAATTTTGCAATTTACACAAGCCGCGCAACTATTTTGATCGAGCTGCCTCGGGCCAAAATGGGTCACGCAGTAAATTAACAATAGAACCATCCATATCCAAAATGTGCTTGTCAAACTGTGCAAGTGACACTGGAGGTTAATAAATTACACACAAACACTCGCTCACACATCTGTGAGAATTTCATGTGAAGGGCAAAAACTGTTTTAATGCCATGCTTTTGCTTAACTTGCTAGCCAAAACTAAGTGAACGTGGAGGACGGTGCATAATAAATCAATCGCCAAATGCAACTGACACACTGCAAAGCTGCAAAGCTGCAAAGCGAGCAAACGCTCAAGGAAATTAAGAAGGCACACATTTGAAATCAATATTGATAGCAATTAAGTGAACATGGAGAACTAAAAGCAATTGCTCTCCTATAAATAAGGCTAATAAAAACGGAGGGCCTAGCCACTAATTACCTGCTGATATGCAAAACAAACAGCTATCTGGCCAATTAACGGCTTAACTGCACGTAAAGTGAACATGTAGGCCAAATAGATGCAAAATTTACCAATTTTCCAATTGCATGCAGAAAACTTATTGAGTCAAATAAGTGAATAGCCATCAAACAGAGCTATTGCTCATTAAGTGAACATTTAGGCGTGTAATTAAATTAAAATAAATAGAAAATAGCTGGGTTAGATGTTACTCATCAAGAAAACAATATATATATTTTTCGTATATATATATTTCGACATGTAACTCATAAGAAAAGTGAAAAATAACTGTTAGGCAAAGGCAAGTAGCTGGGGAGAAGAATATCTTTGTGTTCAGTCTCCCCTACAAAAAGCGGGACTTAACAGCCTGCTTTAACCTCGTTGCTCATAAAGTGAACAAGGAGAACACATAGAAAGTAAGATTAGGGTTAAACTAAAATTACAGACGCTTGTGCTTGTTTAAACTTGATGTTGAAGACGAAGAACAATTTATATGCCAAGCTAAGGCTAAAAAATAACCAACCAATAGACTAAATATATTAAAAATAGTACGGGAACTTCTCAACTGAATATCTGAAGAAAATATTACACATTGAGAGCCTTGCGCTTACTAAAGCTATGTGTCTCAAAAATATAAACAGCTCATGAACACAGTTAATGCAGATTAAGGGCCTACGCTTAAAAAACATTGCCCTAAAATTTAAAGTCAATTGGTAAAGGACCAACAAAACGGAACGAATCGAAGCACAGCGAATTCCGACGAATATGCACTTTTGTGAATTAACTAACAATGCGAGCCAGTGTTGCATAGCTGCATAGCGTTACCAACCGCAAAGGTTGCAGGGTGGCGCCTCCAGTGTTGCAACGTGTGTTGCGGCTCCGATGTCCATTTTTGGCAGTTGTCATCGATATTCTATGGGCAACGCTGGGCATTTGGGGAACTCAGTCTGGTTTTTCGGGGCCGTTGGCCACAGATCAACAGCTCAGCTCAGTTGTCGTACCTGAAATGCACCTGTGCCATACACACACACACACACACACACACAGAGAAATCTGCTGCTGTTGATGTTTTGTTTTTGTTGTTGTTTCATCTGGTCAGTGAAGCGTGTTGCCGATTGAAAATTTAATTTCCCGCCCATGGCACAAAAAACGAGGCAAACTACAAAACTGTAACTGGACGGCTGCCCCGCCTACCGCCTCCTGGTACGGCCAGTGTATTTCCGCCATTTTAGCGTTTGCTGTTCCGTTTCATTTTCACTTTTCACTGGACTTCGATTTGGTTTCATTTTGGCTTCAGCTCACTTGCTGGTCTCTCTCTCTCTCTCTCTCTCTCTCTCTATATATATATATATATATATATGTATATATTTCTCTCTCTCCCTCTCGCTCTCTCTTTCTGTTGTAGCTCAGTTTGTCTGTCGTTGCGTCTTGTTTATGGCTCTTCATTTGCAATAATCCAAATTGCCATGACTACCACCAGTCCGACTTCCCAGCTGTATTTCCTGTTTCAATTTGCTGATTTATTTATTGCCTCTGCCGGCAACAACAACAGCAGCAGCAGCAACAACAGCAGCAGCAAACACACCCACTTGACTGATTTCCGCCTCTTGAATGTTTTTATTTTTTTGTTGTGTTAACCGTATCTGTAGCTGCACCGAAATGTAGCTGTATGCTATACTTATCTAATTTGAGCTCCGAACATTTTGTCATCCTCAGGTCTCTCCAATCGGCCATTGGGCCCGCCACATCGCAAGAGCAGTCTACCAAAGCATCAGGAGGTGAAGCGTCGCTTCCTGCAAATTTGTGATACCAACTTTTCGAATGAGGTGAAGGCGGCCCTACGTCTGCCGGCCTTCGATTCGTATGAATGGGGCGATGCCGATGTCATCCACCTAATGCAGACCATGTTCCTCGAGCTTGGCTTCGTTGAGAAGTTTAGCATACCCGTCGATACGCTGCGCGAGTGGCTCTATGAGGTCTACAAGCACTACAATGAGGTGCCATTTCACAATTTCCGGCATTGTTTCTGTGTCGCCCAAATGGTAAGTGAAAACTGTCAACTTTATCGACAGCGATTATGAAATATCATTGAATCGAGTGCAATCACAGCGAAATAGCATAGCAGTTATTACTATACGACAAGTTTCCATTTATTTAAACGATATGCATTCAACTATCTGCCTAGCTAGACGCTGACAGCTCCGCAAGTGTTGGTTAATTTTATTTAGTTCTAATTCAGATTTCTGCTATCTATGCATACATATGTCATATGCACACTCATCTCGGACATTTATTTGAGAGCATTTGGACTTAAGCCAAGAAACGCACAGACAATTATCTAACCAAATGAAGTGCATTCATTCCTTAATATCAAATTCTTATTCAGAACAAGCAAATTATTTGAATCCCGAAGCGTAAATACCTACAAATTCAATTGTTTCAAGTAAACCAAGTGTCGTCATCTATTTCTATGTAAATTGCTATTCTTGTTTTTTTAATATGAGAAGCATGAAACAAATTTTCGAAGGCTGCTAAAAACCTTCTCCCTGTCTGTCACACATGCTTGAATCGTTCTCGAACAGGTACTTTAATTCATTGTTAATTTATTTGAGCATAAATTGTGCAATTGAGCCAAACTCTTTATGAATACAGACCTGCAACAAGCTGTAGTGTCCTTTGGGGGTCCTTTCAGGACTACAGCGAGACTGCAGCTGGGCCTCGAATTGAATTCAATTGAAATTGTTCAAGAGACGCTTGCAATGCGGCGTAGCTAGGGTAAATCCAAATATGGACAGTTTATAGATGTGTGTATATGTATTTATATATATTTATATGTGTACATATAGCCTTAAAGAATAAAAGATGACCAGGCTGCATACAATCAATATATTCAGTCCCTTTCCTTATGTGTGTATGTGTGCGTGTGTGTGTGTGTGTGCAGCTGAACAATAGACGCCACGTTGTATGCAACAGAAACGCCAAAGGGCGCTCAAGACAGACAAAGCAGCAAGTCGCACACATGTAGGTCTAGGTGTGTGTATGTGTGAGTGTAAGAAAATGCCTATTTATAGCTAGCAGAACAAACACATACACAGGCACTCACATACACGACAATTTAAAATAGCAACAACTGAAGAGGCAAAGAAATGGACGCGCAAAATGTCGCTCACTGCTCACTGCAATAAAACAGCAACAAGAACATGAGCAACAACTGCAACAACAACAACAACAACAACAACAACAACGGGCAGACAGACATTGGCACTGACAGACGGACAAACTGACTGGCCACTCACCGAAAGACAAAACAAAAAAAAAAGAAAATAAACTCGTCAGGCATTTGGACCAAGATCAAGAAAATAGAATAGAAAAAAAAAGGAACAAAATTTAAAACAGAAAACAAAAAGTTAAACGTGCGTAGCTGACATTTGAATACCCTTCTTCTGTTCTGTTTGTCACTTAGGCACCATTTTATCGACCCGCAAAGCAAATATCAATTACCAAAAAAGTCTTTAATGCGCATATTCCTGTTCGAATAATAATTTAAATATAATCTATACTAGTCACTTTTCAATCAACTTATTTGACGGAAGTTTTCTCAAAATATAATGCCTTCACATATACATAAAAGATATAGTCATTCGTTTTGCATTCAATTCGATTCCATCATCAACTTATTTTACTATCGAGTTCGAGGCTTTAACTTGTTGAGAATTATAACCGCCAAGCAACGAAAAACAGCAAAGCAAGCAATACCAAACTCCACTTTTACCAAACAAACAAAAAATATATTTAAACATATATAAACTTGATGAGTTTGCTCAAAATATGACAAAATTTTCGTCCGATAACTGGAATGAAAGCTTATAAATATAACAGCTTAGGAAATTTCATTTAATTTCATCTTTAGGGAACTTTTAAAGCCAGAGTTTGATTACGTCTTACATACATAAAAGCTGTTTTTGAGCAAACTTTAAATGCTAAGGCAAAGATTAAATGCGGGAATACGATCTGTATTTAATATATATAATAGAACGTACAGTATTGAGTGTATATAACAGAACGTAATATACATAAAATTGATAAGCCTATCTGTAAAACAAAATATTTGCTAAGTTAAGGCTTGATGCATTAACAGAAGCATAATCTATAGCAAGTCAGTCAAAAGAGCTAAGTATATTAAACATATTGTGTAATTGCATAGTTTATGGCTATTAAGACACGTAGCTAATATCACAACCAGCTTATAATACCCTGCACCACAAGGGTATGCAAAAGGAAATTCAACGGCTGGCGAATGCAAATTGTGCCCAACAAGCGGCCAGCTGCTGTCCAGGCGCACAACAAACGAACAAACCAACACAAAAAAACCCACCCAAAATTCAGAACCTCCCAAAAAACCCAACGACAGCGACCCACTTAGATGCTCAAGGGCCAACGAAGCATTTTGCGAACCGAGTTTTTAACCTACATTTTTGGCAAATGAAACTTGCTTTTTTATGCAGCCTCTATATAGTACATATATTTTATGTTCTTGTTGTTGTTATAGTTGTTGTTTTGGGGCAGCGGCGTGTCTGCTCAACATTTAGATGAAATATTAATGCGCTGTTAGTTGGCATCTTAAGTTGTAGGCCACAGTGCTCCGAAAAATAAATTAAGAGCTCAGCTCGCACAAGACTTCAACGCTAAGTAGCATTGCAGAGGGGCAGCTACTAAAGTAATCGTTGCCCGAATTTATCGATAAATCGGAATAAAAAGGAACTTGAGCCAACAGCGAAAAGAACAACAAATAATGCATGTGGAAACAAGCTGCAAACGAATTATTCTAATTATTTGGCTCAGTTGAACCTACTCATATTCCTATTTACTGTATAATATGTCAACGTTGATTAAACGCCTCAACAGTTTTGGGAAACGTTTAATGAATAAGTATATTAAGTGAGCATATAATGATGCGGTTCGTAAGCTGAAAGTAGTTTTGATAAGCAACATTTTATTCAGCATAACTGCTAATGAAAACAGTGTTGTTAGACGCCTAATTAATGCAAGTATTGAAACTTTTTTTGGGAATTTTGAAGAAGAGTTCAGTGCCCAACAAGTAATTATAGCAAAATGGGTGTCATAATAACTATGCATCTGAAGGATTTTAATATATGTGCAAAGTCTTAACAACATTGGATTATCATGATAAAAAAAATCGATCATTGATAAGAATTCATTAGCATACTTAAAAGGCAATATCAAATCGGACTTATGTTACATGTCTCTATATATAAAACAGTTTGTCCTGACTGACTGACTGATTGGTGATCAACGCACAGCCCAAACCGTAAGAGCTAGGAAGCTGAAATTCACTGTAGTTAGCTTATGTGATGTAGGTGCACGTTAAGACGGGGTTTCGGGAAATTCCACCCGCAAGTGTGGAAACATCGCGAAAAACGTTTGTATGTAACTTTTTTGTTTACCATCCGATCGGCCCCAAACTTATTTTCAAAGATCTTTGTTCAAATTCATTTGAGGGGTGTTTAACACTTTTCGAAAAATCCGTTCCTCCTTGGTGGAAATGGACGTCAAAAATTTGGTGGGTGACGTTTCGCGCTCAAATTCGTTTCCAAAGATCTATAAGAAAAATCATTTGAGACGTGTTTCACACTTTTCGCAGAATCCAAACTTTTTCGGGTGGAGTGCGACTCAACGATTTTTGTGAGAAGTTTTAAGTTGTGTCCGATTTGCTTCAAACTTATTTTCAAAGCTCTACATAAGAACTTAATGAATACGTATCTCAGCGATTTGGGAAATTCCACCCGCAACAGTTTCAAAGCTTTTTGAGAACGTTGATTTTTAGCATACGTGCCGGGTTATACCCGCTAGTATTATATATTTTATTATATAACTATCGGTTGTGGAGATACAGCTGCGGCTCAACACCACTATGCAGATATATCGTTTCTTGGTAAAAGTGTTGCCTAACGCCCAGTCAATGCAATGCTCTAGAGTAATCCGGTATTTTAAATCATAACGCATGGTGATTTTTGAAAAATCCTTAATGGAAGAAGTTAAGCTTAAGCTTTAAGCACTTGCATTTTTTCACTATTGAACCAGCTTCACTGTAGCTGTGCCATATGGCTTTTGACTTTCGGGAGAGGAAACGAAACTTTAAAAGATTATTTCAACTTGACAACAAAAGCCAAGTTGGCGCCGATGGGCGTGGCCGTGTGACAAATAGAAGTGCAACCAAATAAAGAGTCCAAATTTATAGTATGCACAGCGGAAAAGGGAAAAGCTGAAGGAGAAACGGAGATGAAAGCATGAATGGGGCACGAGCGGCAACAGCAATTGTTTCACATGTGGCATGTGGCATGCCGCAAGGGCCGCCCGCAAAGTGGTTTGTTTTCTGAGAGCACAAGGCAGAGACAAGTTGAAAGCAGTTTGCAGTTTCTGGCTTTTGGCGAATCGTTTAAAGTAAATACAACTAAAACACACTCGAATCTATTCACATTTGTGGGCTTGAACTCTTTATAAAGCAACACAATGCGTGCAACAACTACAGCGATTCTCGTCGTTGTTGTTGTTGCGGTTGTTGTTGCTGCTGTCATTGTTGCTGCCGTTTTATAATCAACTGCAACAGCAGCAACAACAGATGCAATCAGACGCTGCCACACGGGCCACAGCTGTAACATCAATAGAATGCATTTAACATCCGATGCTATCGATAGGCAGAACCAATCAATAATTTAAGAAGCATTTATGCAAGCGAAAATCTAAAGACCATAAAATGTTTTAATATCATAATGGAAAAGCATACAAAACTCTGCGATAAATTGGGGAAAAGAAACTCCAAGTGCTATTCTTGTGCCTTCCTTGTTCCCCTCCACACTGTGTATAATATATGCATGAAATGCATGCTTGATTACCTTCGGCGTTTATAGTCCGATCTTTGTGCAGTTCGTAGCACAATTAAACTGTGATATTTATGATGATCAAGATCATGAGTGGGAAACACTAGCTCCATTCAAGCATTGGCCCATTGAAGGGCTCTGTC